AAATAAACTTCGTCTTAATTCAATTCTTAATGCATGCAGCATGCATGCACCTCCTATGGCTAGTCAACTAGCTACACTCAGTAAACCCTAAACCCTAAACCCTAAACCCTAGAATATCTTAAACCCTAGAAAACCCTAGAAAACCCTAAACCCTCATATTTCCCTCCTACACCACTAACCATAACTTATAATAACGAGCAAACCCTGTCTTAAACCCTAAACCCTAATAATAATTAAACCCTATAAACCCTAATTATGAAACCCTACCACAAACCCTAAACCCTAAACCCTACCAAACCCTAAACCCTAAACCCTAGAGGCACCTTTATTTTTCTTGTATACCTCCTCCTACAGTAATATTTATATCATTGTGCATGTCTAAATCTCCTCTATATGTTTATTAGGGTTTAGGGTTTAGGGTTTATATATATATATTTATTTTATTTATTCAGGTATATTTTATTGTTGTTTTAATAATATATTTATATTATATCGTGGTGATTCTCCTCTGCATGCATCTGCTGCTGGGGCTTTGGCGGGTTGTTTGTATAAATCTACATCTAATTATAAATTAATGGGGGTTTATTCTCTTGCTTCCTCTAGTAAGTTTATTTATTTATTTATTTATTTATTTATTTATTTATTTATTTAGCTAGCTAGCTAGCTAGCTAGCTAGGTAGATAGGGAGAGAAGGGAGAAAGACAGCACAAATATAGCCAACACACGAATAGCTAGCTGGCTAGCTAGCTAGATAGCTAGATAGCTAGCCAGGGTACCAGGCAGTTAGTTAATCAGCTAGCTAGCTAGTTATACCTAGCTAGCTAGCTAGCTAGCTAGCTAGCTAGCTAGCTAGTTATATAATGTCTGTTTGTGTGTATTGTGTTGCAGTGGCATTCACCGCCATTGATCAATACATGCGCCGCTATCTATGAGCAGCAGCAGCAGCAGCAGCAGCAGCAGCAGCTAGCTAGCTAGCTAGCTAGTTAGCTAGTTAGCTAGTCTGTTGGCTAGCAGGCTGCAGCAGGAGCAGCGCCTGGCTTACATGCAGAGCCTCTTTTTGCTGCTGCTGCTGCTGCTGCTGCTTTTGGCTGTTGCCTTTTGCTGCTGCTGCTGGCATTACAGGCGGGATGGCAGCAGCAACTTGCATGCAGCAGCAGCAGCAGCAGCAACAGCAGCAGTTGTTGCTGCACCTGCTGCAAGGGGAATGTTTTGGCGATGCTCCATTCAGCAGCAACAGCAGCAGCAGCAGGTGCAGCAGCAACAGCAACAGCAGCAGCAGCAGCAGCAGCAGCAGCACAATGCGGTATTTGCTGTTCAGCAGCAGCGGCAGTTAAAAGGACTCCGCTGCTGCTGGATAAATACACCATCAGTTTTCTTACACCTATAGCTAGCTAGGTAGCTAGCTAGCTAGCTAGGTATACAGCTGGCTATACAGCTAGCTAGCTAGCTAGCTAGCTAGCTAGCTAGCTAGGTAGGATTGTTGATGTTTAGTTTTGGCAATGTCCGTCGGCCTTGGGCTGGCTAGGTAATAGCCTCTATACTGGCTAGCTAGCTAGATAGCTAGCCGGCTAGTTAGCTAGCTAGCTAGCTAGCTAGCTAACTAGATAGCTAGCTAGGTGGCTAGTTAGCTAGCTAACTGTGTATGTTTAATTAATTTATATATAGGGTTTAATATTTATATTGTTATGTATAATTATTATGTATATATGTATATAATAATTATATAATAATAAATATAATTAATTAATATATAATTAATAAATAATAAATAAAATATAAAAAAGAAATTTATACTTGTTTGTATTGACTAAGCAAAAGGATGCATGCAAAATTATATATCTAAACCCTAAACCCTAAACCCTAAACCCTAGCCTTCATATAGTACGAGGGTTTGTGTGCTGCTGCAGCATCTAGGGGATAAAATAAGACAACAAAAGGATAAAAATAAAAATAAATAAAAGAATAAATAAATATAAATAAATATAAATAAAAATAATAATAAAATTGATGGATTTATTTGTTTAATTAATTAAACAGCACCTGCGCGTACACCCCGTGCTATATGCATACACCGCAGCCCCACAGATTATTTCTTTCTTTTTCTTTTTATTTTTTATTTAAATTAATTATTATTATATATTTTATTCATTAAATAATAATTTTTATCTTTTTATTTGTTAATTAATACAAATAAAAACCCTTTTCTTATGTTAGACAGGCAGACAGGTGACCCCCCTTTATTCTTAGGGTTTAGGGTTTGAAATCTAGGGTTTAGGGTTTACAGCAATTAGGGTTTAGGGTTTCCACCAATTATTATTTAGGGTTTATCTATTAGTGTTTACAACTCCAAATAATAAAAATATCCTCTATCATCTCTACACCAGAGCCAGCATACTGTTTACGGAAGCAAAAAAAAATAAAGGAATATTAGGGTTTAGGGTTTAGGGTTTAGGGTTTAGGGTTTAGCTAAAAAAAAAAAAAAAAAAAAAAAAAAAAAAAT